AGGTTAGGCGATTACAAGAAAAGCACAAGTACAAGGCTTCTGATATTATTGCATTGAATGAAACCCCATTTTGGTGCGATATGTTATCAGACACAACCGTTGACGCAACTGGGAAGAAATCCATCACTCTTAAATCGACCGGTCACGAAAAAGCAGGGGTTTCGGTCTGTCTCGCCGCGAAGGCTGATGGACGTAAACTGAAACCTATGGTGGTACTTAAAGGAGCAAAGCAAGAAGTTGCAGCTTTAAAACAAAAATTACAACATCGAGCAGTTGTTGCATCGTCAGCAAACGGATGGATGGACACTGAGGTAACCAAGATCTGGGTTGACTCTGTTCTTGGATCATTTTCATTCAATCGCACGCTGTTAGCCTGGGATTCCTACGAATGTCACATGGAAGATAGCATCACTGAGTTATTGAAAGCTAAGAACATTGATCGTGTAATTGTGCCTAGAGGTTGCACTAAATACATCCAGGAACCCGACGTCAGCTGGAATAAGCCCTTTAAGTCCTCGTGCACAGAGAAGTGCGATGAATGGCTGGGAACAGTTGGAATTAATGAGGAAACTACGCTGGAAATCTGAGAGCCCCGCCAAGACGAGCAATATTACAATGGATTTTAGACACTTGGGCTGAGCTTCCAACAGAAATTATCAAACGTTCCTTCACAAGCTGTGCCTTGAACCTCCCTGTGGATGGCTCGAACGACGACACCATCCACTGTTTCAAAGAAGGGCAGCCATGCAGCACGGAGAGAGCTATGCTGCAGAGACAACTGGATAGCTTGAGGGAACCAGATGCAAATCCTTTCGCGTGTACAGATTTAGATGTCTAAGAGGCTTACCCTCCCAGGCTGGAGCTCGTAGATTCTGATAAAGAAGGAGACAGTGACATCGAAATTGACTGAACGTTGTAAATTGTTCCACAACGATAAAGGAGTTCGCTCTCACCGCTGATATTTTCGCTCTCGTTATCATGAAACGCTCGGGGTTTTTTCACCGCATGAACTTCTCTCGTAATTCTAGATTTACTATCAGTTTAGCATCAGTCCATAGGAAGATTGACAGATAGAAAGTGTACCATTGAATAAAAATATAGAAAAACTGAATTTGTCTGATACAATTTATAAATAAGCGCCGCCCTCGAATAAGCACACTTGTGGCGCGAAAAAATTAAATAAGCGCGCGGCGCTTATTCGAGTAAATACGGTATCTTATCTTATCTTATCTAGACCATCAATGAAAGTTTATATAGAGAATTTGCTCTAAATTTTTCTCGCGGTGCGATGTATTTTTTTCTTTTCATAGATGATTAAAGTTGTAAATCGTCATGAGCATGTGGATACTTAAGAAAAATATCAAATTAAGATTTTTGTTTTGATATTTTGAGTCAAAAATCAAAGTAGGTATAATGCCAAGTGTTTCTTTTCCTGGACTTATTTTTAAACAGCATGGTCTGAGTTGCCATGGTTATTGTATTTATTTCAGTGCTTGATTTAATGTTATCGGTAGAAAAAAACAGTAATGGATTTCTGTAGATCGCATACACGAAGAGCTAAATTTGATCCGATCATATATTCGTTCGTTCCAGATTTCCTCCCTGTCAAAGTGGTCTATTTATATTTTTTCTTTATTTTTCTCGTGCAGTTACATTTTTCGCTTGGGCTAAATTTCTCGTCTTGACGATTGTCTTAAGACTCTGCGAAAACGATATTTAATTGTTTTCAAACGATATTCTGATATTGTGGGACGATCCACTGGTTAATTTGATTGACTGTAAGAATGCAAGTTTAGAAACCCTCTTTAGGTGTTTACTTTGTTGTTCTTTTATTTAAAATACAAGTTACAAGATTGTGCATAATTCCCTCTTTAAGGAGAGAGAAAATGTTTATATTGGGAATGGTAGGATCGGTGTATTGATGCAACGAAGCAATTGTCCGAACTTTCAGCGAAGAGGAACATTGGATTACATACAACGATGTCACCATCGTGACCCGCTTTAAATTTACAAGAAGTAAGTAAGAGAAGAAAGGAGGAGAAAAAAAAGAAGTCTCGACGCAAAATAGTCTGGTCTGAAGTGATGTTGCTCTGAGAAAATCGTATGCGTCTTTTTAAATGCAAGTGTCAAATTTTGTGCTATCTTTTGAAGTGCTCGCACTACCTTGGAGATATTTCTCAAAGCATCTAATGCACAACCTTCATTTTTCATTGTGTAGTTTTTGTTACGTAAATCATGGTGTAAATTAAGAAATCTCTTTTTTGAGACGACTATGAGGAATTCAGAGGGCACTTAATCTACAGAAAATCTTAATTTTACCCTATCTTGGCCGGTTTTAAATTCTTGAAACCTCGGTAGTCATATGGAGTCCACTTTTGCTTTTTCATTTCGTTAAAAATTGAAGTTAGTTTATAAATTGTGTATGACTTGACTTTAAAATACTATTTTTTGTCAATGTTATCATGGTTTTTTTTAGCATGAAAATAACAATTACAATTTCAGAATGCTATACGCATATTATCCTATTCCACAGCCACCAGCAGTACAATCCACTGATATACATGAGCTTGGATTATAAATTATACCACACCTAATTTTGGCTAATTCTCTCTTTCCAGCAAGCGTCGAAAATTTCAAGACAGCTCCTCTAGGATTTGCTTGGGTTTGTTCTCGATAATATTGCGGGGTGGTATTGTAATAGTCGATTGATGAGAGTAAAACAATTAGCATTTAAAGTAACTAAACGACGTTTTTAGTTTCCCTTTAATTTTCCTCTTCGACTACGTATCACGAAAATGACTGGAAGATGCTGTTTTCTAACTGATTTTCGATTGATGATTCTGGTCTTCGCCAGTCGAACTTAATGTTTGAAAAGCTACGAGGGGGTGAGTTGGATGACTTGCTGGATACTAAAAGTTATAAATTGCATAAGCAGCGACCGAATCAGTCAATTTGTAACAATTCTATAGAAAATTCACTGCATGACGAGTGAATTCCACGTCAAATTTCACGCGAAAAACCGATATCGCACGAATCGCGAGGAGGAGGAGGCGTTGGAGGAGGAGGAGGAGGAGGAGGAGGCGGCGGAGGAGAAGGAGGAGGAAGGAGGAGGCGGAGGAGGAGAAGGAGGAGAAGGAGGAGAAGGAGGAGGAGGAGGAGGAGGCGGAGGAGGAGAAGGAGAAGGAGAAGGAGGAAGAGGCGGAGGAGGCGGAGGAGGCGGCGGCAGAGGAGTGTGGTGACTGTTCAATGACAGAACAGAACAAATGAAAAAAATTTTATTCAAGACTGAGTTGCAAGAATCTGGAAAACTAAGACTCCCTTCTGTACTTAACTCTTACCCAATAGAAAAAATGACAAGTGACGCCTGCTGTTTTTTTAATTTTTTTTTTCAATGTTCTTGTATATCCAAGATCTCCTAGTCATTTCCTCTGTTCAGTCAGACTTGTTACTGAAGATTTTATGGTAACGTTTGTTGTCCTCCCGCATTGATTAGCTTCGCTATTTTGCAGGTAGTGGCTGTTAGATATGTATTTTAATTGCTAATGAAAAATAAAAGAATAATGTTTATTTGTTTTGTGTACTCAGAGGATTATTGAGTAAATCAATCATCGGTTCAAGCTAACAGATCTCTAATTCTCGATCCTCTGTTGCATTTGAAATATGTGTCACAAACAAGATATTCTGTGCGGGCATGAATAACAAAGGATGGCATCATGCTTTGAGCCGTCGTGCGTCGTGAGCCTGTATGTGTCGCTAAACCGCATAAAAGACTTTTTGTTATCAAAGGCCCAATTATCATCTGCCTTCCTTTCCTTTTAAAGACTGAAGAAGTAGCTTTGTCAGGATTTTGGCTTGGACCATCTATTTTCCATAAAAATTGAACAAGTGCACCTCCCGTGTGCGCATTTCTGCAAAATCGCTCACAGAGTTATAACAAGAGTCTGACTCTTCGCGTTGCAGTTTTTGTAATTTTGATGCTGTAATACAGGATTTATTTGTGATGATATTTATAATCATGAAAAAGAAAGCAGCCTTTTCCGTTACTCTTGATAACTGTAATTTCTTGGGAACTCATCTCATTAGAATAAAAATTTTATTCAAATGAACGAAGAATCAAAACGTACAGCTGTAATTAACAGTTTCGTTTCTTTGGATTGGTAGTTCTAATTGGAAAACTTCTCGCATGGAAATTATTCTTGCGTCAATTGATATTTTGAATCGTGTTTTGTATTTTTTTTTCTATAGATAGAGCATAATAAAATCATTTTACAATTTTCCTTTCTTGAACCTTTATTCTTTTAAATTTTGTCTAGTGAATGTTTGAGAATGGAAATGGAAGACTGGTGTGTCAATGAACAAGCTTCTTTGTATTTCTTTTGAGCTTTGACGTCTTGAATTAAGCGCAGGCCTTAAATGACTTGTTAAAGTTTTTTGTTTGTACTTTCTCACAGCCATTGGACCTGTAAAGAAAAAATTCGTGGACTGGCTTTGTTAGTCAATTACTATTTGTACAATGTGTGTTTACAAAACTTCTGAAGAAAACATATTGAGATTGGCGATAATCGATTGTCAAGTTTCGATATTTTCCTTTTAAACCTTTCCGTATTCTGTTAGACGCATTATTTTGATGTGACGAGCGTAGTTTCACTGCTTTTTCTGACTGCAGTGGGCAAAACTTACTACGAATCTCAAGTTTATTTTCCATTAACAGCGACCCGAATATCAACGATCATCTACGCATCGTTTTTTCTCATCACCTTATTAATTCTCAGATGGCTTGGTCCAAATGGAAATTGAAATATAGAACTTTATCATAACAAGTACAATACAGCTAAAACGTAATTCATATTGCACAACACCAGGAAATGTCTACAAGTACTCCGGGAACGATGGTAAGCTTATCTCCTTAAGATTAAGAAAAAAAAATGAAAAAAAAAGGAGGTTACCATAGAGAATCGAGTCACTCAGAACTCTACTGTCACTGAACGTTTAACAGCTTACGTATTTACTACCAGAACCTATCCGATATTTCCACAATGAATTTTGTTGACAGTTCTTTACAATAATGTAGAATTCACCGGCGACCAGGTAAAACTGTTCTCATTTATCATCTTTCAGTTTTTGTTGGTCATTAATCTGAGCCAGGACTATAAATGTTTGATTGTTTTGGCTTTCTTCCTGAATTTAGGCCTTGCATGATTCCGAGAAACAGCTCTCTACCTATATTTTGATAATTTGGTAACAGTTATGTTCAGTTCAAAACGAAGAAACTTAGCCTAGGTGGTTCTTTTATCGAACCCAAAACCTACAGTTCTTCGTGGGAAAAAAAAGAGAATTGAAAGATGAGTCACTTCGAATTCCAAAATTAAAACGCAGCCTGTGCTTTCTTCTGCATAGTTTAATTTCTTTAACCCTCCAGGTTAAAAGTAAGATAATAATGGTTACGTAGTGACGGTAACAACATTGACGAATGCAACCTATGTGCATTTATTCTTCCAAACGATGATCACTGTTAACAAAGAAAAATAATCGTCGGAGTAAAACTCAAAGTTCTTGATCCAAGAAGCAAGTGTTTGAAAAGTAGTTGTAACTCCACTTCGAGAAATGAAAATATATTTTTTTTCATTTACATGTCTACAGAAAGTTTAGAAAGATCAGCAGATGTTTTTAACTGAACAAATGTCAGAGACATTATTATGTTTAAGGCAGAAAGAACACGTCGCTAAACGAAACTTACAATTGTAGAACTGCCATAAAAATCTAGAAGTCTTATTTAGCATAGATATATTGTGCTGTTTCATGTTTAATTCTGACAAAATCATTTATATTTTTATGTAATACTAGAGGGTAAAAATAAACTCTGATAAAATTTCTATCTGAAATAGATGTTAAATATTTCAATATAGATATATTGTGCTGTTATTTGTTCTTTTCCGTATCAGTGAGGATATAATCATTTTTTTTTTTTTCTCAGCTCGTGAGCGGGCGATATTCTATAAATCCTGCAATCTGATTGGTTCCGAGAGCGGGCAGTATTCTCCCATCCGGCCCGCTCACAGCGGGCGGTATCCATTTCGCTTGAGTCACTTTGCAGAACATCTCAGGCTTCGTCGCAATTTTTCACAAATATATGTCTCATTTTGCTGGCTAAGCAGAAGTTTTAATCAAAGTCTTTGGTCACGACCTTTTGGCGATAATTAACATTAATTCTCTCTCGCTCTCAAATCACTTTGGTTTTTCCGCAAAAATCGATATCGAAATAAGCTTTTTGGTACTAGATTTGTTTTTAAAAGATTGAAACGCTGCTCAAAAACAATTTTTTAACCAATAATTCTTCACAAAAAGTAACTCAGAAAGTTAAAACGAGAGGCAGCAGTAGTTAACAATTACGTTAATCAATGTGACTCTGATTCGTTAATATCTGAATACTTCAACACAATTTGTTCGCTTGTGAAACGCTGAGCGAAGTTTTGAGTTCTTCTATAAATACACTTTCGCCTCTTCTTTACAAGTCCCTTGAATTTCGATATTTCTGCCGTAAATTTCACGACAGAAACCGAAGGAATTCGATGAACAAAAGTCGCATTTAATCCCCTTGTGTCTAGCTGGAAAGAGTCATTGACCTAGGCTTTTCGGTGGAAGAAAGACAGATCATCACAAACACCATTGCAGAAAACAAACAAGCTCACTGGCAACTCCAAAACACATATCTGCATTCACTTACAATTTGACTTTCTTTGACATTTTTAGACGGAACAGAGGTAAATCTTCGAATATTAATCGTCGTTGGAAATAAACGTTACTTTTGATAATTTTTTTTTTTTTTTTTCTTCTACGAGAAGATCGTCGCATGGTCATTTAACCCGTATGTCTTTGTCATACCAGTACTGTTGTTTATTCAAAAGCACACATGCACTTTTTTCCTCTTCAATTGACAAGTGTCACATTGTGACAATTACTCATCAAAACGTGTTTCAAAGTTTCCTCGGAAGCCTTTTAAGTTACCTATACAAACAAAAATGCGTCAGTGAAAGCTTTCTCTTTAATTTGAATAACGTCTCTCCTCTTTATCTTTCACTCGCTAAGAATTGTTAAGTTTCAGGAGGATTTTCCCGTAATTAAACTCGTAATTGTAGCCCTGACTCGTTCGGGTTCTTTTTGCCATTATTTGGTTATGTTAATTTTCTTTGATAAAATTTCTCTTTGAAATAGATCTCAAATATATGAAAATATGTATTCTTTGAACAAATATTTTAAAAATGATTTATTATGATTTTTTTTATATATTCAACCCCAAAATCATAACTTATATTATATAGCTGATATTTTTTCCCCAACAGCGTGCGCTCTCATTGATTAGATAGAGTTACATGACGTTTAAAAATGCAACCATTTTCGCTCAAAGACTCTAAGCGTTGCGAAATCTATGACGTCAGAGGATACAGTCCAAGTTTCTTGCAAAGGTCAACTTTTTGCTAAATTTTCATAGACGAGAAATTACCATCTTTCCACATCCATTCAGGACTGGTTCTTCGAGAAAAGAATAAAATGTTTTTAAAGCGGCCACCTGCTTAGCGTTTAATGGTTCTGATATGTCAGTGGGGGCCTAAATCAAAATCTAGGTTTACTTAGAGGGATTGAACTGCTACCACTTTGCTGTCCAATGCTTAATCACCAAGTTTCAGAAAACTCGATAGTGAGATAAGTCGTTTATAAGAACTTTCTTAGGTGTCAAGTGTGCTCGATTCTGTGGGGTCAGCGGTGAAGGATGGGTCGTACTTGGAAATAGACAAAGAAAGATCTGGGCAAGTATTGAGCTCGACCATCGAACAAGGAAATATTTATTCAGACAAAATTTCACAAATGGGTGACGAACATTAAGACTTAAACATATTACCATGGTCTAGCTGTTCTTGATAAGATTCTTAAGATAACAACTCTTTCGTCAGAGAACTAATATTTCTGTAAATCTATTTTAGCAATGAAGAAGCTTGAGACTGCTTTCATCTATACCACCATTATTTTGAGCGTTGTCGAGGAAAGTCTTTCATTTGGAAGCCAGTTGGTCATCCAAAGGGAAGTCAGCAAGAGGTCTGCTCTTTTTCAGAAGGTGAAAGATGGTAGGTAACCTTTACGGCAGGTATTCCCAATTACCAAGAGGTTTCGCAAATTGATGCCTGCTTAAATCTGTTTTGGTGTAAGCTATATGCAAGGATGAAATATGGAATGAATTCAGTGTTAGTTATGACTCATCAAACCAAAATCTTTTTTTATGTATTAGTTTGTTATTTCAGAATCTGATTCAAGCCCATATGCGCTTTTAAAAGTCACCCTAACATATATTCAGTCGGGGGTGGAAGTGAAAGCAATTTACTTTTAGGATTCGTAATTCTTGCCTTTTTTTTAGGTTAATGATTTGTGATTCATAATTTTCTCCGATATTTGTATGATTCTTGTTTAACTACTTTTCGTAATTCACAATTCCCAAATTGTTAAACGTGAAATTAAATGATTCCGAACTAAAACACTATGATTAGCGATTCGTGATTCCACATACATTTACAACCCTGCTCTTCAAATCATTCTTTATACTGTTTCAGCTCAATATAACAAAATGCACAAGATGCATGGCCATTGTTCTCATTTTCTTCACTTTTTTGCTGTTAGAAAAAAAGAATAATGAGACAAGTATACTAAAACAAAGAATTGGAAAAAAGGTTTTTTTTTCGCCGACTTTCATTTAGGAGTTTCTCTCACCACTAATTAAATTTCGCTGCCAGTTATCTCGTAACGGGCTTCGCAGCATTATAGTGCACGAAAAGAAAGATCATTATACTTCATGAAAAGATAGAGCAACATCTCGTCGAACAAAGTTTGCCGTTAATTCCAGTTAGAAGAAGAGGATGTCGCAGCTGGCAGCCGCCAAGTTGCAAGCTTTGTCTCATTTTCTAGTCTTAACAGCCTGCGGCGAAAAAATACCGCAAATAAGTCGATCAGTATTTAATCTTAACTTTATTAAGATATTCGGACCGAGATGTAACTTAGAGATGAATTTTCAGCGCCTTATTCAATACCTTCGTAAAATTTTAAATATACGAATGAGTTTGTTCGTCTCATGTCAACAATTATTAACCACGGACATATAGTGCAGTCTGCCTATGCATATTCATAGCGGGTCAAACACTTAAGAGGCTGTCCGCGTAAGAATCGACCACTCGAATTTCGGCCATTCACAGAATTCCCTCAGATTTTCACCGTGAGATATTTGATTTCTTCTTTCTGCAAAAAAATTATTTATTTGGTTCGTAATGGTACCATTTATCAAACTTTTGGCGACGAGATATGAAGACGTCAAAACAAAGAAAATTGTTTATTTCAGCGTCAATTTTCAGCGTTTCGCTGGAGGCTCTAACAACTTACGAATTTGTTCAAATGGCATAAATCGGACATGTGGTGTTTTTCCTCTTGGTGTTTCAATAATTGGGCTTATCTGAAATAATTGAATTTGCAAATTTTTTGCGAAAAACGTCCAAAATATTTACTTTACGACACGGGTAAGCTTTTTATCGAAAAGATTCGCACTGTTTGCCTTCAATAATGGCGGAATTGTGCTCGTTTTCAAGTGTTACAGGAGGAAAATGTGGAAGTAGCTGAGGGAGCACAGATTTGTAGCTTTGAATAGCTGTAACGTTGATATAAGCGCGCATTTACATCCCCAAACTATTGAAATTTACCTGTGGAGGGATGAAGCAGGATGTTACCATAGCAACTTCATCTTGTTGGCCGTTAGCGATGCAGGGAAACTAATTGGTATTGCAGTCATGCGGTATGACTTTTCCGAACCCCAGTATGGAAAAGATGTCTGTGATTGGATTCCGGCTTTGCCCAATGAAGTCATCAATCCGACGATTCTCCAACGAGGGACATGATGTAGTTTCTACTATAGATGTCCGTGCAGCACTCTCAAAACGTCCCCTTAGTGGTACAACTACCTGCGTTTGCTCAATAAACAAAACCAAAAAAGCACTTCAAGTACAAAAGTTAGACGGTTTTAGTAAATATCCCAACACAAGTTTGAGAGGGAAGGAACAGGGAGAGCTCATGACATCGGGCAGGGAAAGGCGTACACGTGGTTTTCAAGTAATTTTTTCAGAACATTTCGAGGAATGGAGCTTTAGTTACCTGTTAGCAGAGAGACTACCTGATAAAGCAAAGAAAAGAAAAAATAGAGGAAAATGGCGAAAACATAGAAGCGAAGCTGCAAATTATTCCGCCTACTCAATCAATTAATATTTAGAAATCCTACATAATGCGATGTAAATATATCTGTACAAATTCATTTACCTATTATCTATTACAACCAAGTAAGGAAAGGTCATTTAAATTTAAAGAGACAAATAGACGGTGAATCACCGGCAGTGATTATCGAACTAAAAGAGAAACCTGAATTCATTAATCTTTCAGTGGCCACTAATTTTCTATTTTACCCAACTTGCTTGCCGCCTGAAATCGACATCGTCATAATTATGTCTTGAAAAAAATTACTTTTTGGTTCATAATGAAGTAAATGCTGGTATAAATTACAGTGAAAATAGGAAAAGTATCACTCTTGACACAAACCATTTCTGTGCGATGTAGTTAAATATGAATCCGCGACGTTTTCAATGTAAAGAACATGACGCATGACGGAACAAACCATTCTCGTGGAGATGTTCTCGAGCTCAAAATATGTCATTATGAAATTCTCTTCATAATGACATATTTTGTATGAGCGTTTCCAAGTTTGTAAGTGACAAGAATTTTATTTTTTTACAGAATAGGACAGTGTTCGAGACTAGCTCAATGGAATTTTAGCCCTTATGAGACAGTTAAACGTAATGTAACACAGAAGACGTTTATTTGTACCTTCGTAATTGCTAAATTTGGGGCAAGTTTGGATGAATTTATGGACATCCTCGCCTTAACAAAACAACTTTGCTAGTTTTTGAAAATAGACACTGCCTCAAATATTGATTATGAGCGAGAAATGGAGTAACCAAAAATATGCATAAGTTAAGTCATAAGCACTTTGACCGTTGAAAATTAGTAAGGTTCATCGAGCTCCTGTAGCTCGAAAAGACTAGTTGCCAAAAATTTTTTTGTTGTTTTCGGCACACCAGCTCTAGTACTAAACACGGATAGTAGTGAGGACTCCACATTCCGTCATACTTTTGAGAAAAGTGTCCTGGAACGACAGCACCCTCTCTTAAATTTGGAAAGTGCCGTTTGTGGGGTATTTTCAAAACAGCGTAATTCTTAATTGTTTAATCAGAATTTACATATTTTGCTATTGACCAACAGAAGAGATATGAAATGATAGCACACATCCGATTTATGCTATTTGAACAAATGCGCACGTTTTTAGGGCCTCCAGCGAAACGCTGAAAATTCACACTGAAATAAACAGTTTTCTTTGTTTTTGACCGTTCTCGCATCTCGTTACCAAAAAAATTGATAAAACAGCATTACGTACCAAATAAATTCAATTTTTGCTGATAGAATATATCAAATATCTCAGTGAAAATTTGAGGACATTCTGTGATTGGCCGAAATTCGAGCGATCGATTGTTACGCGGATAGCCTCATAAAGTTCACTTTCGATTGTACAGTAATAATCCGATTAAAATCGTTCAAACTATCCTTGCGCGAGTTTCTGGTGTACATGCTGACTGCAAGAGTAGATGGTGGTCTAGAGAGTCCTTAGAGGAAGTTCTCAGTTAGCCTTACCAAGAAAGATTCCCTTAGGAAACAGCACGTGCTGTTCCTTGAGTTCGATAAACCAAAGTTTACACTTTTCATCTTTCTTTATTTCTGTTTTGAGAGGTGTTCCTTTGTACGCACTAACCGCATCTTTCTTTAACTACCCCCCGCCCTCAAACCTTGGATCGGAGAGGTCCCGTGATATGGTATAGTTTATGATCGATATAAATTAACCTTGCTTCCTAAAAGATTTGAAAGCTCTTATTTTGTCTTTCAGGTGAAGTTTTAGAGGGCCACGTTATAGCAAACTACTCCGTTCCCTCTGAGCTGGACTGTTTGCATAGATGTGTGTCACGTGGCAATTGCGTTTCATTCAATTATCAGCGGTTGAGTTTCGAATCATCACGTCATAGTTGTGAGCTCAATGACGTCACTCTGCTGTCTTCCGGTGAGAAACTCGTGAGACGAAATGGATACTCGTATAAAGAGCCAATCCTCTTGCCTTACGACGTAAGTAGGAGAGCGCATCAAGATTATGGAGCTGAATAACGTCTGCGTATGTCTCAAGTGCGCTCCTAATCCATCGCAACAATAAATAATTACTGATAAATTTGACAGTAATTTAAAAAAATGCTGAAATGCTGAAATGCGGTAATATAAAAAAATGCTGAAAGCATCCATCGAAACTGTCTTTTAGAAAACCCACCATATATATCAGCGTTATCGTAGCCCAACTTGCAAAAAATGCACTTTTGCGAACGACATACAACAGATCGTTGTTAAATTTCAGCCAGTGTGCAACCATAATACCATGGCGTGCAAAATATATTTCGTGTCACTGTTGTAGGAAAGTCTGTAGCAAAAGTTTTAAGATTGACATCTTTTTTCAACCTTGTGAGAAAACTGCACCGCCTTTAAAATTTTCAAAACCTCTGCCACTTATGTCTAATGTAGCTGTGGTTTCATGCTTTAGCCCACGAAAATACCTGGCATAAGTACATGTGTTTCCGCTTTGTCCATTCAGATCAACATTTTCGACCAGGAAGTAAAGACACTTAGTATTCTTTATTGCTTAATACATAAGAAACAAAGCAAAAAATTTTATCTTCTGTCTCTAATTTTTTCTTCTGACTATGTCGTAGGGAGATAAAAACGAGACAATTGGCGGAGGAGACCTTCATTTAACGATGACATCTCCAATTAAAGGTTAGTTAGACGTTACTCCTCCTCACGTGCAACTTCTCTCCTCTCCATATTTAACAATTATTCACCGAAGGCGAGGTGAATATCGTCGATTAATCCCCGAGACGAAGTCGAGGGCATTATTCGACAATATTCACCGAACCT